ACAAAAAGACAAGAGTGCTTGATTAGGTCACAGCACAAGCACAGATTTAAGAGTTGGCAATCTTTGGTCTCATTCCTGAAGAAACAACAGCATCAGCCTCTGGTAGCAAAGGTTCTGACCTAAAGCAAGCAGCCAAAAAAAAAAAAAAAAAAAAAAAAGTAGGTTTTTGGAGTTTCTTCACAATTGGGCTTAGGCTCAGAGTTGATATTTGAGACAAAAGGGTCCCTAATGCCCCTTGAATGACATCTTTTAATTAGATTAATCCAGCAACATTGCAGTGGTGAACCAGAGGAGTAGAGTCTGCTATCATTAAGCATATTGAATTGATTCATGTCTGCAGTGCCTTAAATCTGACCACTGGTGGTCCAAGATTTTGGTGGGAACTGAGAGGGCCCCATTCAATTTTAAAAGGAACTAGCCTTCTAGAGTGGGGAGAAATCGAATTTTAGAAATTATTGCACGGAGTGCTACTTTGTTTCCCCACCAGTCCCTTCCCTATTATATCATCCTGAAAGCTTGATGTGTTCCTAAACTGCTTAGCATTTCCTTATTCCCTGTAAACCACTGCCCCTTTCACCCCTCCTCATCTAGACTTCATCATTTTTCCCTTTTAATCTAGAACTGAGAATGTATTCGGTGGGTACTCTCTGATTGTTAATTGTAACATCCACTGTTGAAGCATGTAAGGTAGTGTTATAATTATACCCCTGTATCTTTTTAATCCTTTTCATCTTGTCCATATCTGAAACTGAAAATATCTGTTCAAAGCCTTGATCTTAGCAATTAGTGAAGTGATATGCATCTGGTTGTCTAAGGATAGACTCAAACTCTTAATCATCTCAGTTCAGGTCTGAATGGGAGTCTTCTTGAGCAATGGTACCTGTAATTAGTGCACAGTTGCTAAGAAATTCTTCAGAAGTTATAGTTATCAAAAATGGGGTCCCTGGGCAACAGCATCAGCAGAATTTCAGAGATTGGGAGAAAAGCAAAAGGTTAGACCCCTAATCCAGAGTAGTGGATCAGAACATGGAGCTGAGGCCTAGCAAGTCTTACCAAAGCCCTCCAGGTGTAGGCCAGAGTCTGAGAAGCACAGTATGGAAGAAATAGTATTATGGAGTTGGTCAGCCAAAGGGAGGAGGTAGAAAAACAGAGTTTGGGAATAGGAGGAGAGGTATGGAGGCTTAGGAGAAGGGTTCTTACACCACGGGTTCTTACATCTCTTCGAGATGATGCTGGATTCCATGGTGTGGCCTTTGGAAGTTCTATCTATGGAATCATCACCCTCAAGGGTATATACCAGAAGTTTTATTGTTTAGTAGATGTAGAAAGAGATTCATGTTCTACAGAGTATCTGATCTCCTCTCCTCTGGATACAACTACATGTTAAGCATATGCTTTCAAGAAGTTCATATTTCAGCCCTGTCTTATATTGCACATGTCCCATCAGAAGGAACTTTTTAGTGGGGGTCTTTGGAAAGGACCTCAATTCTAGATTCCTGGTCAACACACTAAATGTTCCCAAGGCTTCAATATCATACCTGATCTGTATAGATGGTGGGAACCTAGGAACGAAAAGCCCATCAGATACAAGAATTATATCCTCTACTTACCCAGTTACTCATTAACTAGGAATGAGTTAGAGTTGGCCAGATTGCTGCTATCACAGTTAGAACTGGTGTCCTTTCTTTCTATTCTTAACCCCTCCACCCCCAATTGGCATTGCATGTGCACCTAAAGCCTTTTCTGATGTGGGCATGCCTCATCAGAATGGCAATCTAAATTTAAGAATGTGACTCAGAGTCTTTTTCTTTTGTAGTTTTAAATAGAAGCCCCGTTTCCCTGCTGCCATCTGTGGATATAGACAAGGAAACTCTGGTGCTTTACACGAGACCAAAGAGGCGCTTCCATTTCAGTTTCCTCCTGCAATGAGTAATAGTCACTAAGAGAAAGTCTCTTGGGGAGAAAAATAAATCCTCATAGGCCAACCTTTTGGTTGTTGAGTTATGGATTCTTCTTTTAAAAGATCAATGAACTCCATGGGTTGTTTCCATCTGGGGAATGAAATAATGGGGCTTTGGCGTCTCCACTCTGTGGTCTCTGGTTGTGTGAGAGCATGAACTGTAGGCACTCTGAGGATTTATCTCAGAAGGGATCCTGATAAATAGGTCTGTTGGCACTTCAAACACCATGCAGGTTGTTGTTCCTGGCACTCCCATGGCAGGGGGAAGTTGCTGAAAGGGATATAAAATACAACCCTAGAATTCTCTGATTCCACCTGAGTTCCGAGAGGCTCAGTTCAGTTTTTTGTCTCAGAATTTCCCACCTCTTGCCCCTTATCCCAACCTTGCCCATAGCTCAGGATGTGTTTCTGTGACCTTGAACCTCATTGAGAGGAACAGCCACTCCAAATACCAGAACAGCATCTATTTTATTGTTTTAGCTCAGAGTATAGAACTCAGTGAATGGTGACAAGGTGATGATTAAGTCAGTTCTGTATTTTTGAATGACCCATGACAAGGTCTGTTATGTTTTCTGTATTGCTTTCTGGAATGGGGGTGGAGTGTTGAGGCATGGTTTTCAACAGGGCATCCCTTAGATTAAAGCCTTCTCATTGTTGCTCTTGCACATTATACAATATGGAAAGGATCAGAATGAAAGAAATGACTAGGAAATCAAGGAACAATGGAGAAGAGTTTCTGTGTTTATACTTTTTTGAATATCTCTCTCCATTTATGTTGACCAATAACAAAAATAACCTCAGCGATACTAAAATGCCATCTCTCTACCTGCTACAGTCCAGAAACAATCTTTTCCAAGAAACCCCTAAATGAATCCACAAACTCCTGGAATTAATAGGTGCTAGAGAACTCATGAGATCCCCAAAATGACACCAATATCTCCATTGTTTACTATTGGGAAGGCAATATTGAGCTTATTGCTCGGCCTTAATGAAGTAATTATGGATTTTCCTTGATGAACTTGGACCTAAGACTTTCCTTTTGTTCCATTGACTGTGTACAACAAAATAGGTGACATGTACTTCTAATGCAGAAGCCAAGTTCCTGCTAGCACAGTGAAGCACATGAATGCAATGCTTACCTACAAATCTCTGGCATCCTCACTCACCTGTCCTCTTACACACACACACACACACACACACACACACACACACACACACACACACACACACCACTTAATTTTCAATAAGGTATCCTGCCAGCCACTCTCTTACAGTGACACTGTCAACTTAAGATCCTTGGGATCTGTAGTAGATCTTTCCTGCCAACCTTCTTGCATATTTTAGGAGCATACTGTACTCTTGTTCTTGATAATACCACACCATAGCTTAAGAATTGCAGGCATGTCCCTTGTTAACTACAGGCCCTAGTTTTCATTAAGTGCATGCTTTGGGGGAGGGATGATGACAAAGAACAGTGGTAGGCTGCTTTGTGTAAGCTTTTGTTCCTGCCTCTTTCAGCACTGGACTAACCAGATTCCATTCTGTCTCCCTCTGACTTTTCCTGCCTTAGTGAGAACTCAGCAGTTGTCATTTCCTTTGTAAAGCAACCATTTTCTGTTGCTTTTGTTCAGTCTGCTTACTTTGTAAATGCAAGAATAGGCTACTCTGCCTTTGTGTGTGGAGGGTTACCACATATCAGTGGTTTGGAACATGACAAGGGGCATGTTTGATTTGTAATCCCAAATGAAGAATGGGGAAAGCCAGTGCATGTCACATGACTGGAAACTCTCATAGACTGACTTACTGTGCCTCCGAGTGGGCCCTGCATTCCCAGGCTGCACTGATTCCTGCCTGTTGAACAGCCAAGCATTACCCTGATTGAAGTACAACTATACTAACTGGTATCTTACGCAATGATTTCTAAAGTGACAATGCTGCTCAGATATCTTTCCTGATGCACCTCTTCAGCTTCCTCTCTTTTGGGGGGAGAGGTCAATGTTGCTACCCATCCATCTAAAGAAGGATCCAGGGGGTCTCTCCATTCTCCCTCCCTTTTCCCCACCTCACCATCTTATTATTCCTGGTCCGAGTGCTTCCCTTTGCTTACAGACAGCATTATACTAGAATTTCATTTATAGTTTTGAGATGTCTGTGCAACTTTGCTGCTTCCCACCTGGTCCAGACTTTGGGACTGTTCACACAGTAATGCCCTCATCAGTTTGCTATGGGAAATCTCATGGAAGCCATGTACCAGTTTGTATAGTAGTACCTTTTGGAACTGCGGACTCTTGAACAAAGTAGAGTGTGCTGGGGATGCGCATTGGCTGCTTGGCACACACACAGCAAAGCCCATTAACCTGCATGCCAACTACAACAACAAACAAAATTAACCCTTAGAGTACTGCTTCCATACATTAATTTAATGGTCTTGAATTTTATTGTTGAACATTGTTTGCTTCCCCAGTGCAGAGTACCATGCAGGAAGTCTATGCTTGATCTAGCCAGAACAGTAACCAGGATCCTCTCCTCCAAAGCTTTCTTGAGATGCTCCTGGGTCCTCTACAAATCTGCTAATGGCTTTTATTAGATCCAGATGTAGCTGCTGGAAAATGGGTTCCACTTCTAATGGGCTGGAGGGCAAAGGGTCTAATGTTTTAGCCTTGTTATGAGTCCTTTTAATTGAAGAAATCAGTTCTTTAAGGGTTAATGTGAAATCAAGGAATTTGGTAGTCCTTCCTGCTTGTCCTTCCTCCAAGGAGTATGCATGGTCCTCTTTCAAGTCTTATATCAACTGTTGAATGATGACTAAAAAAAAAAATAGTATCTAAAATTACCACCCCACCAGCAAATAAAAGAACAAAACCCTGAATGGTTGAATGGAAAGCCTTTTGGCAATGCTTGCTTGATGGTCACAAGGGGTAGAAAGACCAAATGTATTTTGTCTTCTCCTCCACACATTGTTTCTCAGCATTGTGAAGCTATGATATTGTTTTCTTTGTCTCTTATTTACCTCTTGCTTTTTCTTCTTCCCACCTAATAGCCCAATAGAATCCTGCCAGAATTTCTACAAAGATTTCACATTACAGATCGACATGGCTTTCAACGTGTTCTTCCTTCTCTACTTTGGCTTGCGGGTAAGTTTGGCAGCATCTCTCAGTAGTACCACAGTGGGGTATGAGAATCCGAAACTCAAGGCTAACATGCCACCCATGACTGCTCTCCCCAGGCAAGGTGAAGCCTGAGGACTCCATGGTGGATAACATACTTGCTTTCTAGTCTGGGATCTGTGTGAAAGCTCATTGCTTAGCTGGGCGTTTTCTGTAATATGTGTTTGTTTTAGTTCAAGGAAGGGGTTTGAAACAATGATACTTTCACTGACTCAGTGTTTTCAGTCCTCTATTCAAACATGAATATGTTTTTTTATTAAAAGGTAAATTGGGAAAAAGTATCTTAAGCTCACCAATTTATATTTAGCAGTGTTGAGATTGCAATTATCAGGGTCAAACAGGGGTGAAGGCTGGTGAGATTTGGGGGTCCATACTAGATTGTACTCATGAAGAATTGTGTATGAAATCTGAATTGCAGACATATGTGTGAATGCATATATATGTGCTTTATTCAACAGTTAGATTTGTATTAGAAAGGAAAGCGAGATTACTTAGCCTTCTCCATGAGGCTGTCAGGAACCACAGGAAATTATATTGCCTGATCAATCTCCAAGGCTAATGTGGCATATGGTCACTTTCTAAACTCAAACAAGCTAGTGATCGACATACAGGAAAATATGAGAAGAGCAGAATGTCACCCTCCAGACCCCGCAGAAACCCAACATTTATCAGTTGACAAAAGCCGTATATTAAGTGCTGACACCATGCTTCTCATTTTGTTTTTCTGTCTTATTTTTCTTTTTCCCCAGTTTATTGCAGCCAACGATAAGCTCTGGTTCTGGCTGGAAGTGAATTCTGTAGTAGATTTCTTCACAGTCCCTCCAGTGTTTGTGTCTGTGTACTTAAACAGAAGTTGGCTTGGTAAGTCAGTCTCTTTTGCCTTCTCAGGGGCTCCTAAGGTAGGATGGATTAAGGACATAGGATCTGGGGAGGAGCCTTGTGCTGGGCTGTCACTATTGTGTATGGATGTGGACGGTACTCTTGGAATATTAGAACTAGATGGTGACAGCCCAGAAGGATCTGCTGAGTTAGTGCCTTAGACAGTAAATTTTATCTTTGTTGAAGTCCCGTGGTCATCACCGTCACAGCTGGGACTTCTGCTGTTCATAGTTCTGTCACTTGTCATTCTGCAAGTGGGAGTCAGGACTAGTGAAAGAAGCCCAGGGGAACAAGGACAGCCTTCAGAGTGCCAGATTCTGGTGCCCCAGCAGACCTGCCTGCCAGAGTTGGTTCTGTCTCTCCTGGTGGGCTCTATTTATAGTTACAAGTTCTGGGATGAGGCAGAACAAGGTGAGACATCTCAAGCCAGTCTGGTATCACAGGCTGCTCGCCTCCCTCTTTGGGTAGGGGGGATGCTCCTTGGTGCTAGGCTCAGCAGGTTACTCCCATAGTCAAGACTAGGACAGTGACACTGCATGGTATCTGCACTCAGCAGTTCTTTCCTGTTGGTGTGTTCAAAAGACAGTGCAATAGAAATTCACTGTCTGGCATAGTTAGTTTCTTGGCTTTGTGCGTGTTAAACTTGGTATTTCTAATGAGGCAGTTATTATTTAAAAATAAATAAAGTAGAAATTGAAAAAAAGAGAGAGACTAGGATGGCGAAACAGTCACAACTAACTAGCTCCAAGAATGCTTAGAGTGACAGCTCCACGCTCCTCTTCAGTGCTGTGTCTAGTTTTTTAACTAACATAAGAATATTTATGCTTCCATGATGTTGACTGAGGAACAGTCCCAAACAGAATTTGGAAGACTTACTTGAGAATTTTCTGTCTTTACTTTTAGAGGGTTTTGTTTTTTGTTTTGTTTTGTTGGATGTTTTTGCTGGAGAGTTGTTTTTTTTGTTTTGTTTTGTTTTTTATGGTCATGGGGGGCAAGACTTCTTATTTTTCACAAAATAACATATGCATATTGTAACCATTGAAAACTTTGAAATACCAACAAAGAAAACAGCAGGCATCTCTTCTCCCTTTGTCTTTCATGGATGCCCACCACCCTCCCCGGGTGCCTATTGTTAACAAGCTACACACTTTTCTGCAAGCTCATCCTACACCACACATAAACAAATGGACGTGTACTTGTAGTCACACATTAGAGAGATGGTGATGGTCTTATAAGAATTCTTTCAAATAACTATATTCCACTGTAATTTAGCTCTTATAGTAACACATGGTAGATACCCCTTCAGTTCTGCAAAAAGGGAAATGCCATGGCCATTTGGATATAATTTCATTTTCTGCTTGTTTTAGAGTGTCCCTAGCCATAAGACCTAATGGATCACTCAAACACTTTCTTACTTACTCCAAACAATATTCTCATAAACACTGTCATCCATATATTTGTGAAATTCCGTTTCTATAGATATTTCCATATTACCAAAAGAGGAATTGCCAAGTAAAAGAGCATGAATAATTTATTTTGTAGACAGTGTTAGATAATGTTCTAAAAATATTGTGTGGAGATGTACTTGCATCGTGCAGGGCACTGAGTTTGAAAACAACTGTCATATATTTAAAGCATAAGCACACATCTCTAATATATAACATATATAGTGGTCGCCTACACACTCTTAGATGCATGTGTGTAAGTGCGCCTGTGTGTGTGGATATCCTTAATTAGATTCCAACCCCCAGGTGTCTCATTCGAACCATATTCACTTACTGACAAGTGGAAAAGTTCTCTTCCTGGCTCTGAGATGAGCTTGCAGAGAATGGTCACTATGCCAAGATCACTAGAGCCACATGCATATCTGTGATGTGTCCTGAGTATGTTGGCGAGGTGGGGCTTCCAGCTGTCTCAGCTGACCTGCTGACTGGCTTTGTGACCTGGGGTCTCTAGTTTCTTCACTAGTCCTGGAAAGGACATAGACAGAGAGTTCTGCCTTATAGTTCTGGGAAGGGCAGGAAACTCGGGACCTATGAAACCTGTAAATGATGCAGTCTGGTGGGAAGCCTCAATGTTGAAACTGAAAACAAAGAACACGGGCATTAATAATAATAACTACAGCAATAAAAAGTACCTTCCACTCTTGTAGATGAGAACACCTTTAATAAAAATACTTGTGCTTCTTAGTAACTGCCCTTGGGTGAGATCCTCAACCTTCTTACCTGTTGTGGAAGAGTCCTTCAGTCTAAAGACAGTTCCAGGAGATTAGGGTTAACACAGATTATTACTCTGGGAAACAACCATTGAACTCATGAGTCACCATAGAAACAAGTGAATGTGCTTAGGAAATAGGCCTATAGAGAAGGAAAAGGACCATTAGGTGTGAGCATTTTGAGCAGCTTTGTCCTAATCCTGCAAAGTAGAGGAATACTGCCTTCACTGGCTGGGGTTTGGGATATAAAGTACAAGAAATAAGTCCACCCCAGTGCTACACACAGGGTGGAGAAAGATGATATTGCTGGTACCATGGTTATTAAAAACCAAAGGGAATGCCAGTGCCTGTATCTTTTTCAGTGCACAACCCATACCATGTTGCCATTCTAACCGTGGGTATAGGTTTTTGTATTGTACAATAAAGCATATATTTTGGTTACATATGTCATCTGAAGAAACTCAACAGTACAGTCAACGTAAGACTGATGGGTATTCAAATGTCTCAGTGTGGGTCCTCCCACCTCTCAGCTCCACCCACTCCATCTTCAGAGCAAACCAAGGAGGTATGTATTGTTAACTACTCCATGTTTATAGATCAGGCACCTGAGCTCAGTGATGCTGACTCTCTTGTCTGGTTTCACACAGCCTGGAAATGTGGGCTGGATAATTTACGCCAGTCTGAATACTTGATATCTACACTCTTTTTCTGATCTTGGGCTCCTGTCCTTAACCTTGGAAGATTGGGAGTTTTGAGGGCCGAGTTAGGAAAGGCTGTGCCTACTCTGCTGCTTGTTGGCATCCCTCCATTTCTACTTACTCATCATGCAATGCTTCACTTGAGGCAGGGAGGGAGGGGAGAGATCTTATTTAAGACTATGCATCCCCATATCTCCTCTTTCACACTCCTCCTTGCCCACCTCCAGTTTCTAGAAATGCCACGAGGACCAGAGAAGCACACAGAGCTGGTGTGGTGTCTCCCAAGTTCCAGAATACTTCAGCTTGTGGGTCTTGCAGGACCAAGGGGCTTCTATATGAACTCCTTCAGCAGAGAAAACTAGATCAGAACCCAGCTCTCTGTTCTGTCCCAGCTCAACTGGCTTTTCCTTGGCCACTTTGTACAAGATCACCTTATCTGCCCTCCATCCTTCTTTCTCAGTATTGTCTCCTATAAAAGGATGACAACAATGGCAGCCCCCATCACAGGGTTACAACAGAGCTTCGGTGTGGCAATGTGTGTTATGTACCAAGCATGCCGTGTAAGCTTTGTTAGAAGGGCAATAGCTATCCCAGCCTCACTCTTTGACCTGCCCCCCCCCATATTTTTAAAGCACAAGAGGAGCAGATAGAGCAGAATGGGACCCCACAAAAGGCAGCAGGATGGGAAGGCATCTATGTCTGCAGATGGCCAGGCACTGCTTATTTTAATTCCTGTTCCCACAATATGGGCTCATTCATTGTTTTCTTTACAAAATCCTTCCCCTGACCACTAAAATAAATGCACCCTGAAACGAGAGGTGGATTTTATTTTGAGACATGAACAACATGTTCTAGAAAACTCATCTGTCTGTTCTTTTAGGAACTACTCCCAGGGGAGGTCAGCTGTTCTCTTTTTGTGTCCATAGATGTTTGTATGGAGGGTCATCGCCTGTGGTTAGAGTATGGGATAGGAGAAGCTTGCACACTGACCAGTTGTCTGATGCACCTTCTATTATCTTAGTACTGGAGCTGAATAAAATCTAATGCATTGCCTATGCTGGACAAGTGCTTTCTCACTGAGTCACAGTTATAGCCCTGCCTAACCCATTTTTATTGAGCATCTACTGTGTGCTTATCACTGGGTTCTGAGTATCACAGATACAGCCTCCCTCTTTGTTATGATTCCAAACAGATTTTACCCCAATTCTCTGACTGACAGGATGGGGAACATGATTAGAGCCACTGTTGACTGGACCCATCAGTGAAAAACTATAACCCTGTCTTATCCATTTCGGTCTAACCTTAGACTTTAACACCATCAACAAATTTCATCAGAAAACAGAACATTCTAGTAAAAAATAGAAAAATGAGCTAGTGGACAGTCATAGGATAAAGAAAGCAATTGAAGATATCTATTTATAAATATATGCATGAGTGTTTTCTTTGTGTGACAAGGTGATTAAAAACAATTTAGATTCAGCATACGTGTGTGGGTGTGTGTGTGTGTGTGTGTGTGTGTGTGTGTGTGTGTGTGTAAGTACCTAGAGACAACAGCAATAGGTCAAAACATAGTTCCTGCTTGAGAAAAAGACTCAATCTTACTTTGGAAACAATGTACACAGACAAGAAATGACAGTAGGTAACACTACCTACTATGTAATTAAGTCCAGAATTCCCAGGTCCAGCAGAAAGTCTGTGGGAGTTCAGAAGAGTAAGAGCTTCGCATGTGCATGTAAGAGTGTGCATGCATGTGTGGGGGTGCAGAAGTTCTATGCAACTCTGGGCCTCAGCTGAGGCTGGAAATGAAGGACAGAGGTGGGCTGGGAAGAGGAAAGTGACTCTCCGTGGGAAGAGAACTCCACTGTGAGAGGCAGGAAGTGCTCATGGAAGATAGCATCATTGCTATGATGGTCTTTCTTGGGCCCAGGCCAGATGCACCCATCTAGGAGATGGCTGTAGTTGTTTATTCCTGACACAGAAACCCATCATCACAGTTTGGAATCTTAAGACAACCTCTGTGCATTATCTCAGAATTCTTCAGTCAACTTGGGTCTAGCTAGGGTAAGATA